TCCTCCTTCTTGTCGGTGGCCTCGCTCTCGGACGCCGGGGCATCCTCCTTCTTCTCCCCCTTGAGCTTTTTCCTCGTTATGTGTCCGCGGAAGCTGGCCTGGATTTTGGTGGCTGCCTTATGAGCTTTATCTTCTGGTTTGATGCCATCTTGCTCGATCTTTTGGTCTCCGTCCTCATTTTTTTCAACCTTTGAAGAAGAACAAGGGAGGAGGGCGGAGGAGAAAACAGGGAGATGAGTTAATATTTCTCCAGGTGCAGCCCAGGCTCTGATTTTATTGTGAATGTCCCACCTTCCCCACCCACTAATCAACGACAAGCTTCAGAGCAGCCTTGCCATTTGCTATGGGTTTGAAGGCAGCTGGCTCTCATTCCATCCCAGGGCTGTGGACAGAAAAGCAGGGCATTTGTAGAAGGGATTTAAAGCACCTCATCATCTCTGACAGCAATTCTGAGAGCACCTTGGCCGTGTGGAACGTCTTGTGCCAGCTGGGTTGTCTCTAATCACAAGATTTATTTTCCCATCCGTTTTGAAACACACCATTTTTTTTCCCCTGCTCATTTTCCAAACACTCTCCCCAGGGGCATTGTCACAGTCCTTCCAAACCCACCTTTGCCTTTTGTCTCTTTTTAATGACACCTTGTCGCACAGGCACGTGCCTCTAGTGACATGAAGGATTTTACCCTTTCTAGCTTTTTGGCTGGGGATTGCCAAGAGAAAATCATATTGCTGCCCACCCCATAGATTCATAAATATATTCACAGATATGCTTCTCCTAAACCCCTTGTCCATGTGCACTCCAAGCACTTTGCCTCTGCTCCCCACTCATGGTTCCAATGAAGGAAAAACACACAGAAAATACATGGATAGATACAAGCCTTTCCAATTTCAGCAGGTTATCATTATTTCTCTGACCACGGGGGGGGATTTAGCCTTGCCACAAAGAACAGGCATTCCCCAGGTTTTTCAGACTTAAGCCACACGTTAAGAGTTTAAATGGGACCAAAAGTCTGTGCCTCACGTGGGTCTGCTGCAGGTAGATCATGCCCAGCTGAATCTCCAGGACAACCATTTTCACAGAATCACACACAGAATCACAGAATGTTAGGGGTTGAAGTGACCTCTGGAGATCATCAAGTCCAACCCCCCTGCCAGAGCAGGACCATCTAGTACAGGGCCGTTCACACAGGCACACATCCAGACAGGTCTTAAAAGTCTCCAAGGTAGAAGACTCCACAACCTCCATGGAGAGCCTGTTCCACCCCAATCATTCAGCAGCTCTTGGGCACATAGCAGCTTAGCTGCACGTTGATGAAAGGACCCTGTTCTGTTAGTATTCCCACTGGGAAGCGTTGACAAGAGCTGGGAAGCAGAGCCACTGGCCTCTTCGCTGTCTGCACCTGGTTTCCAACTCTGGCTCAGGTCTCAAAAGAAAGGAGACAAGCTGGCTGAGACAGACAGCAAGTGTTTATTCTGGGGTGGGAAGAGGAAACCACTCTGTAGGCCATCTCAACTGGCAGGTGCCATCTGGGGACAGGCCCAGGACCAGAAGAGCA